GCACAGTTTTCTTCTCTGCGCACGTCGAAGAGAGTTATGAACAAAAAATACGAGGAGGTTGTGTTTCAGCTCATGCCGTGATTATTTATGATCACGACAGGAAAGGAATCATGCGAGTTGTGAGAATGTTGCAAAAATTTTATTACTAACAAGAACACGACATAAAAAAAGTGTAGAAAACTATATCAACATTGAAGGTTCGAGTTTATATTTCAATTAAGCGGATATACATCATATTTCTTGACATTAGAATGTTTTTTTTGTGCGTGTCTAGTGTTTAAACGTAATAAAATGTTGTAAGATGCGTTTGGAGGCTGGTTGAAAATTCATCGAAAAATCGGTGCTCAATTAATACCACGCCTGACACCATAACAACGAATCCTAGCTATTAATTTATCAACATTCCGTCATTACATAGCGTCTCATCACCAATCCAGTTTTTTTTTTTCGTTTGGCATCTTCCTTTTCAATCTTTGCTATCAACGGATATCTATTGAAATTAAAATCATAACTGGAAGCGATACCATTATGATTATCAAGAGGCCTAGACTACAGCCTGGCAAGCATGAAAAAGCGTCAGATATTACAAACAATTATTATTTAATATCTCAATAAAAATTCCCATTAACCAACAACCGGCGACCGCAGACGGGCTACACCTTGACACAAGGCAAGGCATCGCCATTAGAACGGTTGGTTGTTGGCTATGTGTGTTGGATGAGAATGACTTTAAGCAACTACTTATGCGTTGATAAACGCGGTGCGGAAAGCGTTTTCAATCTGCTTATTTTGTAGGCTATTCATCCAGACGTCCTCGGGTATCTGGTGCCTATTTGATCATTTACATGCATGGATGAACGGCGCGCGCGATGGCTAATATGCATGCATGTGATGAGCACAAGCGCGGCCATTCTGCGGCTGCGGAAGCAAGGGAATATTAACGATCATTACAATGAGTTGTGGACGTGGACGAGGTGATGTCCAAGAGGCGGCAAATTTGTTCGGGCGCATAAACATTATGCTGGTTTCAATGGGAATCGAAATCGTTTATCGGGTCGTTCACATATCTACTGTTTAGTAATTTTTTGAAAATGTTTGTTTGTTTTCGTTTCACACCTAAACTAATGAACAAATTTTTATCAAATTTGGTACAGATCAAGATTAATCCTTAGAGAAAAACATAGGATACTTTTTCTTGCAAAATTATGATTGGAAATGCTTGAATAATGAATAGTTTTGCTCTAAACGTGTTTGCTCTGCAGCATTGTTTGTTAAGTGCGTTTGAAATTATTGAATTATTTATGCTTACGTGAATGAGGCTATCAACGCGTGTGCGTAATAAATTCGATTACAAGAAGCGAAAATTATAGCATCACAACATTCATTATAAATAATACTCGAGTTGAATGCAGTAGCACAAACCATCGCGGTTAAAAAACGGATCGGTTGATCAGTTTCGGTCATGTTTTGTGTACGCTATCGGCACCGTGCACAATTAGTTTTTCTTTGTACACGGCAAGAAGTAGTGAGCTTGTGCCACGCAGCTATTTGTTCTACCAGCTTTCATTTATTTTCTTTGTACGGTATCACAACCAGTAAAGTAGTATGAAAAATTGGTAATTCTTGCGTGCGCGGCATGTTAATACAGGGGAGAATAAAACTTTTGACAGAATAACCGCTATAATTTATCATAATCTTAATTTTTCATGTAAAAATATATTTTTTACATGTTTGAGTATAGCTGAGCTAATATGTTAGTTACAACGTGTATAACTAAAGAACGGCTGAACAGATTTTGATAATCTGTGATTTGTTGGATTTGTCTTCGCCCCGAATAACAGAATAACTATTACAATATAAGAAATTATGATTGAAAGGGTGTTAAATTAGGGATGAAGTTGATATAGATATATAATTATAGTTCTAGTTGATTTATTCAATCAGAGATGGCGTTTAACAGCATAATAAGCATTTTTCATTCCTTAAAAATAAATTTTGCTAATTTTATTGATGGATTTGACATATACTAGGTCCAAATATCAATTAATCAAATTTTTACTAAAAACTGCTAATTTATTATAACAATATTTGCATCCTGTATGTCTCGTGTTTAAAACAAAACCAAAGTAAATTGCGGTGACCGTTCATTAATTCCTGTAACCAGGCAAACATTACCAACACCTGGAAGTCCGATAATCGAGCATGTAATGCTGCAAGCAGCCAAGCGTGTAAGGAGTCACCGCCGGAGCAACACTCGGGCGAAAGTAATGAATATGTGCGAGAAACACAAAGGTAGATAGAGGCCAGGGCGCAGCCGAGAAGTGGCAGAAACAACTAAACGTTAGGATAAAGCCGCACGTACCAAATAAAAGTGCGCGCAGCAAAGAGAGACATTCAGAGAATAATGACCACCGCATGGTTGCCGCGTACACGGCCGATGTCTTATTAGTATTCATATCGAACCACCCAAGAAGTGACATCGCAATTTAAGCTCTCCAGCCAGTGATACTTTGCGCAACTTGAACTCGGTAATAATGGTAATATCAGGCAACATTTCGGTTGACTTAAAAGCTTGAAATACTTCCAAGTTGTGATAACAACACAGTTTTATGAATTTAAATTGTGATACTTTGGAATTCGAGCCTATAGATAAGTTTAAACTCTTTAAATTGTATGAAACCGAGCACAGCCATACATGGACATGCCTGGAACTCATAAACGCTGATGCCTTTGTACACGCACGACGGATTAATTATGAAATGTAACTAAAAGCGAACTTCTGCGGCACGCTGTTGTTCTGCTTGTTGTGCTTGTTGCTTTCGACTTCCTTCCAATTCAGCCCGGGCGTTGCACACGCATTGTCTTCTATTCAATTGAAATGGAAACCGCTGTTTCATGGCGTCTGAATAGCGGCGGCAATAACTCGGTTTCTATTTGTTTTACAAATTAGGAATTGACTAACAACGCGAAATATAAGCAACATTTTTCGAACGGAGCGAGATTGTTGCTGCGCGCTGGCGCTGTGTGTGTTCGAGGTATCACGTTACAACTTAATAATCGTAAAGATCCGAACGGGACAAACAACGAACAAAACACATGCAGAAACGGAAAGCTGCGCGCGCGATAGGAAATCAGATTGCGTCTCGCGCGAACAAAGAAGAAAGCAAAAGATATATGCGAGGAGATGGGACGTAAATAAAAACGTCCAAATAAAATGTAAGTGGATATAAAAGCGATGCGTGTCAGCCGAGAAGTGCTGGCGAACGAAAATAGGCATTTTATGCGATGAGAAGGAAAAAAAAAACATAAAATCTGTCGAGACATAAATTTGTCATCAGGATCAATAATATGCTTTCAAGCTAATAAAAATATACAAACTAGGTATTACCACATCTGACTATAAACTCATGTAAAACATAAACTTTATAAGAGAATTCAAATTCAAATTAACTTACAACAAAAATTATGTATTCATAATTTTCATAAGCCTACTTCGAAAGTTTGAAAGATTTCGCATTATACAGCTCGCAATAAATCCTCACTCGCAATTTCTTGATGCTTTTATTATTCACGTGCAATTTGCCTTCATTATAGCCATGTTTGTCAGAGAATTCCGACAATATTAAATCTGCCAGGCAAGCGATAATTGACAGTTAGATTCGCCTATGCAATCCTAATATGCACAAGGAATCTATTAATTAATAGCCCGCGAAGAATGAAATGCATTTTTCGATTAAACGACACATTACAACTATTAGATCCACCGTTATTTCAACGAAGATAAAATCAAGTTTTCAGCACGCTTATGATGATATTTAATACCACCCTGTTGCTATCGCGAAGCGAGGGGCTTTAAAGTGCTTTCTTTAGTTAATTATACTCGCAAATTAACATCAAGAGTAGGTACCTGAATGAAAGAGTTTCGGGAAGACTGATTACACTAATTATGAAGCTTTTATATCGTCATCTTGAATCTTTTAGAACAATTTTAACTAGTTTATTACTGTACAAGATGCAAAAGCAGTTAACTCATTGTTTTTAATTAAAATAAAACCAAATTGCCGACATTACCAACTAGTGTTTCATATGAAGTAAATAGAATTTAGAGAAGTTGTTTGCTATTTTCTATTTTCCGTAATGCACCTGCGTCTTGTAAGCGCATTGCGGGTATAATTATTATTATTATAGAATCTTGCTCCAAAGCAATTGCTAATTTGAAATGGTAATATCCATTGCGTTCGCTAATTATTGTCATTTGTTGACAGCGCAAATCACGCCATCGCTGCTGGTCGAATCATTAAATGCTACAGCGTCGAAACTTTGTTTATCAATATTTATGTTAGTATAGTGGCTAATTAATAGTCATGATTGGATTAATTTGAATTTTCTAGCCGAGAATGTGGGCGCAGTCAAATTATTACATTAATATTCATCAGCTGCACGAAAATTTCTGTGAAATTCTGGCCTACACGAAGCGGAATTGAATTGTGTGCAAATTTATTTTACGATACACTCCTTGTCGTCGGTATATCAAATTTGATCAGATGCAAATATCATATTTTCTTTTTTATCTCGATTGTATGCATTTAGAAAGGGTAACTAAAGTGAATGCACATGCAGGGACATCAAAGTTTATTGACAATACAATAAATGTAAGAAATGCCGCATGCAGCAGGATAGAAGGAAGAAAAAGAAATCTCTTTCACAAAGGTTAATGTTTTCCATGAACTCATTGAGTGTACAACTCCGATGGTTTTTGTGCGTCTTCCATTAAAACATCTAAAAGCATCAAATTGTGTTAACTGACCATAACGAGCCTAACAGCAACCAAACACAAACGCGCGCGCTAATGATAAATCAATATTTGTTTAAAAAAGTTGAGATAATACTTGAACAACCTCCTATAATATAATAAATGCTCTTCAGGTCTTGTAATTTGATTTTGTCTGTTTGTGCCGATGATGTGGAGTAGCTATTAATGTTTTTTTGGTGATTTTTAGGTGATGTTCTCAGCGGTGTGTGCTACGTGGGTTTGTGGAACGTGGAAGCCATGGAAACGTTTATTCTCATACCACTGTGTATCTACCTTCTGTTGGGTATGGTCTTCCTACTGGCTGGATTCATCTCACTCTTCCGAATTCGCACCGTGATGAAACACGATGGTACCAAGACGGACAAACTGGAGAAGCTGATGATTCGCATTGGGATCTTTTCGGTGCTGTACACCGTACCGGCGTTGATTATTCTCGGCTGTTTGTTCTACGAGAACTTCAACTTTGACGCGTGGATGCACACGTGGACGAAGGACATGTGCGAGAAGAAATCGTTTGCCATACCGTGCCCCATGAAGCACGACTATGTGGAGAACCGGCCGCTGTTCGTCGTCTTCATCATCAAATATTTAATGTACATGATTGTCGGTATCACGTCCAGTGTCTGGATATGGTCCGGTAAAACCATGCACAGTTGGCGGGTGTTTATGAATAGGTTTAGGTTCAGGCATAACGAGGCGTACGTGTGATAGATGCACGTGATTCACTCAGTAAAAGTACACAAAATCAAAAATTATCATAAAATAGCGTGAACAAAGATTTGTATTGTGTAGAATTATTAATCTAGAGATGATTTGTGATTACGTTGATTTTAGTTTATCATTTTAATTACCACATTCTATTGTAATCATTTGACTGATATGTTTTAAATTGATTAAGTGCTAAACGCAAACTTTGTTTTGTACGTATGTCATTTTATAATTTAAGTATTTGCTTTTGCTAGTAGCTAGCAATGATTGTAATTTTATTTTACAGTAACTCCGGTTGAATACGTAACTTTAATGACGAAGGGTGCATTGTAATTTCAACCCGCCATTACAATTGATGACTGAGAGAACTTATGTGTGAGTTTTTCTTTGAATGGAATGAGATTAATGCAGCTATGATACAATTGAGAGCAGTATTGCAGAAGATGATGTTGTATCCGTGTAAAAATTAAATTTTATGAAATTGAATATAATGTACATAGTATCAACTATATAATATGATGGCAATTAAATAATTAATGTAAATATTTATTACTATTTTTATATAAATGTCGTATGTGACTTATTTTTAAACGCTGTAAAAGTTGTACAATTGCTTTAGACTGAATCTTCTTGATCATACATGTAATTTAAGCTTAACCCGAGCGCTACAAATGAAGTAATAAATCGTCCATGGTACGCACAAGTATTGCACATCAAAGAATGTCTTCCAAATTCGAATTCTAATCTTGTCAATTAAATGAAATCTTCATCTTTATAGCAATATCTATTTATATTACCATGAGAATTGAACATGACGCACATCAACAATATTTTGTAACCAGTTTAATTTTATACTTGTATATATTTTAAATAAATTTTGTGTATATCGTAATTGTTGTGTTCTATTTCAAAAGCAAATCAGCAGAATTTATGTTTTTGATGAAAGACTAGAGAAAAGAAATGAAAACATGATTAATGATACTTTATTTGATGTTTTTAAGTAAATGTTTCCTGCTCTCCACGCCATCTGCAAGAGTCCTTTACTCCTGGGTGTTAAGAGAGGGTTGCGCATAGCTTATATCCGCACCGCGCATGTCTTGCTTGGCAGTGTGCAACCTGTCGTCTAAGCGTGCACACGTATTTCCAGTTCTCCGCTTAATACCGTTTGATGTTTTACGTTTAAATGTTCAATATCCACACACGTGTTCTTAAAAATAAGTGTGATAGAAATTTATATGCTAACGCATTATACACAATCGTGAATACATCGCCGGGAAATAAGTACGCGTGCCATGTTTTCTCAACAACAAGAGTGCCCAGAAGCATTTATTCATGGGACCTTATAAATAGGTAAATTGTGGATTTGATATTGGTCAGTCCTCTGAATTATATTCACTAACGTTGCTTTCATTTAATTTTCGACTTGTGTTCAAGGACTCTTCTAAACACACTCATGTGCACTGATTTGGGTGTTGCACCTATGACCATCACTTCGTGTTGCGAGTCCATTCAGCTAAGTATACATTCCAAAACAGAGGAAAATTAATTATTTACATTAACGTAGATCAAACTTAATTAAATTTCTTGTTGGTAGCTGGAGGTCTCCTTTATTTTCTTGGTCAACTTTGCTGACATTTTGAACGTATTATGATGCAGCTAATTTTCACCTGCTATTCTTTATCCTTCATTCGCACTACTAATGTCAGTAAGTTTCCTTAAAGCAATTCGAAATTTTGGCTCATTTTTGAAAAGTTATTGTAGAAAATGGGTTGTATCTTGCGTTTCTCTGGCTATATTAAATCTTTTTGCTTCAGATAACAGAAGAAGAGCAGTTTAATCATAGAAACTATATTTCAACACCGTCAAGGGTCTGGAAATTCTCTTAAATCGATCTCCAATTTCAACAACTTTGATGGTTTTTGAAAAGTTATGGTGAAAAATGGTCTGTATCTCGCGTTTCCTAGGCTAGATTTTAATTATTTTTGCTTCAGATAAAAAGAGAAGAGCAGTTTAATTATAGAAACTGCATTTCAACACCGTCAAGGGTCTGGAAGTGCCCTTAAATCGATCTCCAATTTCAGCAACCATGGTGGTTTTTGAAAAGTTATGGTGGAAAATGGTCTGTATCTCGCGTTTCCCAGGCTCGATTTTAATTCTTTTTGTTCAACAGAAGAAGAGCAGATATAAGAGTCAAGAGCAGTTTAATTATAGAAACTGCATTTCAACACCGTCAAGGGTCTGGAAGTGCCCTTAAATCGATCTCCAATTTCAGCAACCATGGTGGTTTTTGAAAAGTTATGGTGGAAAATGGTCTGTATCTCGCGTTTCCCAGGCTCGATTTTAATTCTTTTTGCTTCAGATTAAAAGAGAAGAGCAGTTTAATTATAGAAACTGCATTTCAACACCGTCAAGAGTCGGGAAGTGCCCTTAAATTGATCTCCAATTTCAATTTCAAAAGTTCTGATGGAAAATGGTCTTAGGTAATTTCTATTTTGTATGATCAGAGAAAGTTGTGGTGAAAAACGATCTATTTCAGTAACTTAGGGAAAATTGGGGAATATTGGGAATAATGATTTGCAGTTGAAAAGTCGTAGAAAATTTGCACAGGGCGTTAAGAGCGCCAAAACTTGCACTGCTATGCTGACACGAAGTACGTGCCGATATTTTGCATGTAAACAATTTTTTGTCGCGTTCAGCGAGCGTATCGCAACAGTGATAGTGGCCGCATGTTGTCGGCGTTGGCTGCGTACAGCTCAGTGTACTCGCAGTTTCATTCCGGTCATCGAGTAAACCGCGCGTGTTTATCGCGACTAGTTCTATTTTGTCCGATCATATTTAGGCAGGTCGATGTATAATTAACTAAAGTTATATTCGTTAAACAATCGACGACATATACTAGAATCGGACGTGACCGGGGTTTTAAAAGTGTGATTGCACGCGTTGGGTGTTTTTCAATCGCGGTTTCAATTTCGGTTTTCCGAAGCGCGTGTCAAACAGTTATCTTTTATAATTAACTCGTGCAAGTAGACGCTGGTATCCAGCGAGGAAGTTTGTGAGTGCACAAATGGAGTTTGCAATATTTATAGCGGAAGTTTTGGAAATTCGCGAATTTTAAGGCAAGTCTTCACTGCGGTAAAATATAATAACTGTCGATATTTTTAATTAAAAAAAATGTTTCTATTGTTAAATGTTGTCAATAAAACACAAGGTAATATTAAAATCTCATTCATATTTCTTTGTAGTATCCTCTTTGTCGTTTTCAGTATTGACGTCTTAAATAATATTGCATATAAATCTTATGCGCGTCGAGCGAGTGGAATATAGCCAAGACTTGTATTGTTGTTTTTAAAAGTTGAATAAAGTAGAAACATAAATAGAAGAATCAAATATTTATGATAAAAACACTCGGTGGTCGAGTGGAGACGTGCACCTGCTGGCATGCTAGCAGACACGGATCGAATCTCAGGTATAGAAAGCATTTTACTCAAATATAAAAATATCAAGTGTAATTTGGGTTACATATATGAAGAAGGCAATATGAGAAGTAAGCAAGTAAGTGGAGGAGCAGAGAGCAGAGAACAGAGAAATAGGAGAACAAAAAGAAGGAAGTAGTAGTAGAGAAGCGGAGAAGGTAGGAGGAAGAGAACATAGTAGAGAAGAGGAGAAGATAGAAGAAAGAGAACAGAACAGGAGAAGAGGATCAGATTTTTAAATTTTTTGGCCCGTGTCGTTAGACAGTCTAACTGCTTCGATGCGTTCATTGCTCCCGGCCCATCCTACAGCTGCGATGTCTCTGCGCTTCATCCCCGAAATACTCAGGCATATCAACAATTTTTATGGTGGGGGATCACCCCCAGAGAGAGGGAACTCCTTATAAGGACAATCCTTATAAGGCCTTGTTCAAATATTTCTAAGTTTTAAATCGCCTCAAGAGAGGTGACACTTAAAAATATTCTCACAAGTTCTGACCTGTAGCTGAAATGAAAGAAGGAGCACACAAATCACACAGGATACCTTAACAATTTTTATAGTGGGGATCATCCCCTGAGAGAGGGAACTCTCTTAGAAACCTGTACCTGAAATGATAGTAGGGGTACACAAATCAAAGAAGTCAATATATCTTACTATTTCTTTATTAACAATAGAATACAAGTTTATATTTTACAAGTCAACAGAATACATGTCGCCATATTGAAACAGGACTTACGACCTGCATAGCCGCGCACAGGCAAGCAAGTTGCACTTCGCAAAGTACGACCGGGATAAAGAAATTAGGAAATAGACCATTTTCTACGTGAGTGAAAATGGGAACAAATATACAGGGAGTTACAAAAAGAAAATTACTACATCACAAAAAGAAAATCAATAGTACAAAAAAGAAAACAGTCGGGAATACAAATTTAGAAAGCTTATAATAGGAAATCAAGAAAAACAAACATACAGGGTGATACAAACAGGAAATTCCTAAATTTAAAAATAAAATACAAAGTTTAAGTAGAAAACGACCAAGAAACAACAAATTTAGTCAGTTTTACGCTAGAACGCAAGGTAAAGTAGAACATAGAGTGATCCAAGAAGAAAATTGCTACATTATACAAATATATTACAAATATTTTACAAATATATTACTCTCAATAATTAATTGCCAAGTTACGAAAATACGTTAAAGAGCCTGCAGATTTATAAAATAAAAATAAAAATGCGAGCAAGGAAAATTTCACGTTATTAAACCGATGATTGACATGACCATACTCTGCGCGTAGATCCAAGTCGCATCCGACGGAACGCATCAATTTTGTGTTGTTACGGTATTCACGTTACATGCAATTTTAGATAAATATGAAAGTATAATGTAATAATGTTTACAAACTTACCAGTGCATCATGTAATCATAAAAAGTACTGAAACAAAAAAACAACACGTGTGTGAGAACTCGCACTATGATGCACACTTATTTAAATTTGTTTTGAGGGATAATGAACCTGTACTATTTTAACACACAATTTTCCCTGAATATCCTGCCAAGGACAGTCGTTAATTACACTTACTTAAAATTACGAATAGGATAAATATTTCTAAAACCAATTCTCAATATCAAAATAATCCAATAGCCGACACGCACATGGAAACACCAGTTTTATAATCATTTTACGCGTTGAATCATCCTTAGCAAAACAATCTACATGTCTGTTGTCAGTTGGTGCCGTTAGAAATGCTCATTTTTAATCAATAATAAAATGTAATGTAATCGGAATAAATTAAAGAATGATGCCGAGCCGCGTGCAGGTAAGAACAGACTGAAGCGGTCGAACGTTCGTAGCATGAGAGGCAACATTGCGCACGTTTATAGCGATATAAAAACTTGTTTATACACAAACCCTGATATGCGTGTAGAATGGAAATAGCACATTTTTGAAGTGCACTAAAATAAAATAAAATATAATAATTCATTACATCAGTTGTTAATTTCAGCATTCGGTTCGCGCGATATACTAACGAAACTACGAGTACTATTGCGTATATGCGTATACACACAACTATCATTATAACTCGCGTTACGGAAGATTCTCGCAATAAATTTCGATACAGGGAAATAAAGAATTAAATTCCGCATCTAGGAAAATTATTCCGAACTTAGTTTAAGACCGCGTTCGCGTGTTATAATATTAAGAAAGTACAATTCCTAGCGCAACGAGTACTATTGCGTATATGCGTATACACACAACTATCCTTATAACTCGCGTTACAGAATTTTCTCGCAATAAATTTCGATACAGGGAAATAAAGAATTAAATTCCGCATCTAGGAAAATTATTCCGAACTTAGTTTAAGACCGCGTTCGCGTGTTATAATATTAAGAAAGTACAATTCCTAGCGCAACGAGTACTATTGCGTATATGCGTATACACACAACTATCATTATAACTCGCGTTACGGAATTTTCTCGCAATAAATTTCGATACAGGGAAATAAAGAATTAAATTCCGCATCTAGGAAAATTATTCCGAACTTAGTTTAAGACCGCGTTCGCGTGTTATAATATTAAGAAAGTACAATTCCTAGCGCAACGAGTACTATTGCGTATATGCGTATACACACAACTATCATTATAACTCGCGTTACGGAATTTTCTCGCAATAAATTTCGATACAGGGAAATAAAGAATTAAATTCCGCATCTGGGAAAATTATTCCGAACTTAGTTTAAGACCGCGTTCGCGTGTTATAATATTAAGAAAGTACAATTCCTAGCGCAACGAGTACTATTGCGTATATGCGTATACACACAACTATCATTATAACTCGCGTTACGGAATTTTCTCGCAATAAATTTCGATACAGGAAATAAAGAATTAAATTCCGCATCTGGGAAAATTATTCCGAACTTAGTTTAAGACCGCGTTCGCGTGTTATAATATTAAGAAAGTACAATTCCTAGCGCAACGAGTACTATTGCGTATATGCGTATACACACAACTATCATTATAACTCGCGTTACGGAATTTTCTCGCAATAAATTTCGATACAGGGAAATAAAGAATTAAATTCCGCATCTAGGAAAATTATTCCGAACTTAGTTTAAGACCGCGTTCGCGTGTTATAATATTAAGAAAGTACAATTCCTAGCGCAACGAGTACTATTGCGTATATGCGTATACACACAACTATCCTTATAACTCGCGTTACGGAATTTTCTCGCAATAAATTTCGATACAGGGAAATAAAGAATTAAATTCCGCATCTAGGAAAATTATTCCGAACTTAGTTTAAGACCGCGTTCGCGTGTTATAATATTAAGAAAGTACAATTCCTAGCGCAACGAGTACTATTGCGTATATGCGTATACACACAACTATCATTATAACTCGCGTTACGGAATTTTCTCGCAATAAATTTCGATACAGGGAAATAAAGAATTAAATTCCGCATCTGGGAAAATTATTCCGAACTTAGTTTAAGACCGCGTTCGCGTGTTATAATATTAAGAAAGTACAATTCCTAGCGCAACGAGTACTATTGCGTATATGCGTATACACACAACTATCATTATAACTCGCGTTACGGAATTTTCTCGCAATAAATTTCGATACAGGGAAATAAAGAATTAAATTCCGCATCTGGGAAAATTATTCCGAACTTAGTTTAAGACCGCGTTCGCGTGTTATAATATTAAGAAAGTACAATTCCTAGCGCAACGAGTACTATTGCGTATATGCGTATACACACAACTATCCTTATAACTCGCGTTACGGAATTTTCTCGCAATAAATTTCGATACAGGGAAATAAAGAATTAAATTCCGCATCTGGGAAAATTATTCCGAACTTAGTTTAAGACCGCGTTCGCGTGTTATAATATTAAGAAAGTACAATTCCTAGCGCAACGAGTACTATTGCGTATATGCGTATACACACAACTATCCTTATAACTCGCGTTACGGAATTTTCTCGCAATAAATTTCGATACAGGGAAATAAAGAATTAAATTCCGCATCTGGGAAAATTATTCCGAACTTAGTTTAAGACCGCGTTCGCGTGTTATAATATTAAGAAAGTACAATTCCTAGCGCAACGAGTACTATTGCGTATATGCGTATACACACAACTATCCTTATAACTCGCGTTACGGAATTTTCTCGCAATAAATTTCGATACAGGAAATAAAGAATTAAATTCCGCATCTGGGAAAATTATTCCGAACTTAGTTTAAGACCGCGTTCGCGTGTTATAATATTAAGAAAGTACAATTCCTAGCGCAACGAGTACTATTGCGTATATGCGTATACACACAACTATCATTATAACTCGCGTTACGGAATTTTCTCGCAATAAATTTCGATACAGGAAATAAAGAATTAAATTCCGCATCTGGGAAAATTATTCCGAACTTAGTTTAAGACCGCGTTCGCGTGTTATAATATTAAGAAAGTACAATTCCAAGCGCAACGAGTACTATTGCGTATATGCGTATACACACATATATCCTTATAACTCGCGTTACGGAATTTTCTCGCAATAAATTTCGATACAGGGAAATAAAGAATTAAATTCCGCATCTAGGAAAATTATTCCGAACTTAGTTTAAAACCGCGTTCGCGTGTTATAATATTAAGAAAGTACAATTCCTAGCGCAACGAGTACTATTGCGTATATGCGTATACACACAACTATCCTTATAACTCGCGTTACGGAATTTTCTCGCAATAAATTTCGATACAGGGAAATAAAGAATTAAATTCCGCATCTAGGAAAATTATTTCGAACTTAGTTTAAGACCGCGTTCGCGTGTTATAATATTAAGAAAGTACAATTCCAAGCGCAACGAGTACTATTGCGTATATGCGTATACACACAACTATCCTTATAACTCGCGTTACGGAATTTTCTCGCAATAAATTTTGATACAGGGAAATAAAGAATTAAATTCCGCATTTAGGAAAATTATTCCGAACTTAGTTTAAGACCGCGTTCGCGTGTTATAATATTAAGAAAGTACAATTCCTAGCGCAACGAGTACTATTGCGTATATGCGTATACACACAACTATCCTTATAACTCACGTTACGGAATTTTTTCGCAATAAATTTCGATACAGGGAAATAAAGAATTAAATTCCGCATCAGGGAAAATTATTCCGAACTTAGTTTAAGACCGCGTTCGCGTGTTATAATATTAAGAAAGTACAATTCCTAGCGCAACGAGTACTATTGCGTATATGCGTATACACACAACTATCCTTATAACTCGCGTTACGGAATTTTCTCGCAATAAATTTCGATACAGGGAAATAAAGAATTAAATTCCGCATCAGGGAAAATTATTCCGAACTTAGTTTAAGACCGCGTTCGCGTGTTATAATATTAAGAAAGTACAATTCCAAGCGCAACGAGTACTATTGCGTATATGCGTATACACACATCTATCCTTATAACTCGCGTTACGGAATTTTCGCGCAATAAATTTCGATACAGGGAAATAAAGAATTAAATTCCGCATCTAGGAAAATTATTCCGAACTTAGTTTAAAACCGCGTTCGCGTGTTATAATATTAAGAAAGTACAATTCCTAGCGCAACGAGTACTATTGCGTATATGCGTATACACACATCTATCCTTATAACTCGCGTTACGGAATTTTCTCGCAATAAATTTCGATACAGGGAAATAAAGAATTAAATTCCGCATCTAGGAAAATTATTTCGAACTTAGTTTAAGACCGCGTTCGCGTGTTATAATATTAAGAAAGTACAATTCCAAGCGCAACGAGTACTATTGCGTATATGCGTATACACACAACTATCCTTATAACTCGCGTTACGGAATTTTCTCGCAATAAATTTCGATACAGGGAAATAAAGAATTAAATTCCGCATCTAGGAAAATTATTTCGAACTTAGTTTAAGACCGCGTTCGCGTGTTATAATATTAAGAAAGTACAATTCCTAGCGCAACGAGTACTATTGCGTATATGCGTATGCACACAACTATCCTTATAACTCGCGTTACGGAATTTTCTCGTAATAAATTTCGATACAGGGAAATAAAGAATTAAATTCCGTATCTTGAATAAAATGGGCAAAAATTGAAAAATGTCACTTTTTAGCACTTTTAGTCGCGTTGTTCAACCTTTTACTGTAGGAAATATAATTATTTTATATTTGTATCTGATAGAGAATTTTCCAATCTTTCATAATCAACAATTCGTTGGTAGCTATCTGTATTAGTTTAAGATATATTAATTATCAAAAATCGTCGAAAAAAAGTATCAAGCACCCCCCCTTGGCAATTTCTTCTTAAGAATTAAAATTTCATCTCTCAGATTTCCGTTTTAACTATCCTATCTTATAGAGAATAGTCTGTAGATTAAGACGCTGCGATCGGATCCTAATTATCTCTTTTAGTTTACGAGATATTCGCGATTGAATAAAATGAGCAAAAATTGAAAATTGTCACTTTTTAGCACTTTTAGTCGCGTTTTTCAACCATTTACTGTAGGAAATATAATTATTTTATATTTTTATCTGATAGAGAATTTTCCAGTCTTTCATAATTCGTTGGTTGCAATCGCTTTTAGTTTAAGAGATAATAATTATCAAAAATCGTCGAAAAAAGAGTATCAAGCAAGACAATTTTTTCGACCACGCGGGTAAAGTGAAAACAAGTAAAGTCAATAACGGATTTGATTAGCATATGCCTGATGAAATACAAAAACATACCTTGATGCAAAATAATTTTTTGCGTTTTTTCATATCCATAACTTGCAAGGACCTTAATTATTCACATTATAAGAATGATGAACTACGCGTATAAAACAAAATAGTATGCGACGGAACATCACTCACGCTTTACCTCCACGTATGTATAATTAGCGTCTTTTGACGCCGCGTTGAAGTTATTAAGCCGTCAAAGTCGCGTGTATACCCGAAAAAATACTAACATTTAATGAAAAAAAGTGAGAAAATCACAATTTTATGCAAATTTTCGCGGGATGCAGGTCGCATTCCTACAACAAATAAATACAACCGGACGGAGAATTTAATTCCGCATCTTTTGACACCGCGTTGAAGTCTTAAGCCGGCAAGGTCGCGTGCAAACCCGAAAATATACTAACATAAAAGAAAAAGGGCCATAAAATCACAGTTTTATGCTAATTTTGTGGGTTGCTGGTCGAATTGCTGTAACATATAAATACAACGCAACGGAGAATTCAATTCTGCATCTTTTGACAATGCGTTGAATTTATTTAGCCGCCAAGGTCGCGTGTAAACCCGAAAATATACTAACATTCAACGAAAAAAGGTGAATAAATTACCATTTTATGCAAATTTTCGCGTGTTGCAGATCGAATTCCTGCAACAAATAAATACAATCCAACGGAGAATTTAATTCTGCATCTTCTGACGCCGCCTTGAAGTTATTGAGCTGCCAAAGTCGCGGGAAAACCCAAAAGTATACTAACATTTAACAAAAAAAAGCCAAAAAAATTACCTTTATATTCAAATTTTCGCAGGTTGCAAATCGAATTGATGCAACAAATAAATACAGCACGACGGAGAATTTAATTCTGAATCATTTGACGTCGCGCTGAAGTTATTGAGCCGCCAAGGTCACGTGTAAATCCGAAAATATACTAACATTACAAAAAAGGGTAAAAAAATCACACTTTTGTGCAAATTTTTGCGGGTTGCAAATCGAATTCCTACAACATATAAATACAACCCGACGGAAAATTTAATTCTGCATCTTTTAACGCCACGTTGAAATTAGTTAGCCGCTATGGTTGCGTGTAAACACAAAAATATACTAACATTAAAAAAGGGTGAAAAAAACACCCTTTTATGCAAATTTTCGCGTGTTGCAGATCAAATTCCTGCAACAAATAAATACAGCCCGACGAAGAATTTAATTCTGCATCTAGTGACGACGTGCTAAAGATACTTAGCCTCCAAAGTCGCGGGAAAACCCAAAAATATACTAACATTTAACAAAAAAAAGGTGAAAAAATTACCCTTTTGTGCAAATTTTGGTGGGTTGCAGGTCGAATTCCAGCAAAAAATAAATACAACCCGACGGAGAATTTAATTCCGCATCTTTTGACGCCACATTGAAGTTCTTGAGCCGCCAGGGTCGCGTGCAAACTCGAGAATATACTAACATATAAAGAAAAAGGGTCATAAAATCATAGTTTTATGCAAATTTGGCGGGTTGCAAGTCGAATTTCAGCAACATATAAATACAACCCGACGGAGAATTTAATTCTGCATCTTTTGACACCTTGTTGAAGTTATTGAGCCACCAAGGTCGTGTGTAAACCCGAGAATATACTAACATTACAAAAAGGGGGGAAAATTACCCTTTTATGCAAATTTTCGCGGGTTACAGGTCGAATTCCAGCAACAAATAAATACAAGCCGACGGAGAATTTAATTCTGCATCTTGTGATGCCTCGCGGAAGCTACTAAGCCGCGATGATCAGGCGCAAACCCAAAAAAATATAAACATTTCACGACAAAGCTACCGCTACCTGCATAAGGTGCCTTGAATCGAGTCACATCTACCACTACCTTCGTACGGTGCCCTGAACACAAATCACTTCTACCGCTACCTTCGTACGGTGCCCTGAACACAAATCACTTCTACCGCTACCTTCGTACGGTGCCTTGAATACGAGTCACATCTACAGCTACCTTCGTACGGTGCCCTGAACACGAGTCACATCTACCGCGACCTTCGTACGGTGCCCTGAACATGAGTCACTTCCACCGTTACCCCCTATGGTGCTCTAAACCCGAGTCACTTCTACCGCTTCCTTTGTACGATGCCCTGAACACGAGTCACTTCTACCGTTACCCCATATGTTGGTTATCCGCAATATGATCCGTTTTTCACATTATCATTAAGTGAAATATATACGGCCCCCCTAATTCGCGAGCTATTGCAACACGCAGGTGAAATGTAATAAAACATTTAACCGAATAATATAACTTAATTAAAAACTTACCAATGCAACGCTCATCGAATTGCAAGGGTGCGACAAGTACTGTAATTAAAAGAAAACATAAGTTAAAACAAAAATATTTCATACAATATGATAATATTATATTCACACAAGGGAGAAAACAAACGTTCTGTGTTAAGTATCGCAATGGTCAGATAAAAGTAACTTACTCAAGCACGAATAGGTTTCCGATTGATCTAGCGACCGACCACGTCCCACAATAACCGAAATATTTGATTTGAAATAAAAACATCAAAAGAAAGCAAAAAAAAAACATTTATGCACATTAAACACACAATTACTTATTAAGAAAACACTGCAGGTGCATAATACGACTAGGTCGATTGATGACCGAATATAATGCAAACTTTGAAAATAGAAGTAAAAACGAAACGCGTTGTGCTATATACGTATGGATACGCCAGCGACCGGCACGAAACTAGCTGCAATCCATCAATAGAGCATGCCGAAACTGCGCACGCAAGGATGGCCACAGTTCACAATAAGACTCTATTGCCTGCTGCATAAACCCGGCAGGTAAAAGCAATAGATGCGCAAAGGCACGCGACCTTGTGCGCGAATTGCAATCGATGCGCAAAGCCGGCGGCGCGTCGATTGCACGCGACCTTGTACACGAATTACAATAGACACGGTACTTGAGATAAGAACTAAACTAAAATGTGCTGCATGCGACAGCGCGACGAAAATCTTACGCGTAGCATCTTGCAAGGCGAATGCGATAAAAAAGTGGCTAATACACAAACGCTTATAATAGAACTGTCTTCAAAGTAATACAATTCTATTTTATGATTTTTAGTTCATGCACTCGTACACTAAAATTTAAATCGCGAAATTATGATTTATGAGTTCGTGGTATATTTACCACATCAAAAGTTAAATTTAGAAAAAGGTAAACGAGCGAGGTAGAATTTTCCGTTTTTAAACGCGTATTTATATTTACTAGAAGAATAATTTAATTATGGATTTACCAGTCGTTGTCCGCATATCCACAGCAAATACTGAAACATAAAAAAACACGAGTTGAAACATTTTGCAAGCCACAACGCGAACCATCAAGTAACTTTTGTCAAAACATGCATTCGCAAGAATTATACTGTTTATATTACTTACGATATTGCTGCTCGCTCGACGTAGCCTTTGTAATCCATTAATATCCGATAGCAAACTTATTTCACGTTTTTAATTATTCGACACATGATAAAACTTAAGTGAAACCACAAACTCATTAGTAACTGCTAAATGATGTGAATTCTTGACCGAAAATAACGCACTTTACTTAATTAAAATGTCACGCAATAACACGAATCACGAGATGCATCGAATAAAGCAACTGAAGGACTGAGGAATATGCACGCATAAAACGCGACAAGTTAAGACACGTCTGCCCGAATACAATACACTAAAGAAACACTACGCTAGAGTTCGGATCGCAGGTAGATTCTCGAATGTAAACAAACAAGCAACTGATAAGAACACATTCCGATGCACAAAATCGCGTGATCTTACACGGCACGCGAGTATTCTTATAAGTTGATGTACACTCACTACTACCAACAGAGAACTGGATGCGATAAATGCGCTTAGAATTTAACGCAAATATATGCATCCCAGCGCCATCTCGGCACTATAAAAATAAGTTTCGGATATCTTTGTAAAATTATTATGTAGGTCTTATCAGTGAGTTTTAAAATATTACATTATATCATACAACAATTATATAATCATCTCTATGATTACAATAGATTAAAATACATGTAGTGTGGGCTGCCTGAATTCGTTGAATAACAGAGTTCTATGTACTTCACTGTAATTTTACATTAAGTCGACATTCCCCGTCGCAACTCAACGCTTCTTACTGTTAATTATTAAAAGTAATGAAACCGAATTAAATTGCATATAATAATATATTAACAACATGCTATCTACACAAAAGTGCGTGTGTTTGTTTCAACAATCATTAAAGATACCAAATAGTAAGTAACCACACTATAACTCCAACACTAACCAAACTACCTTGAAACAATTGCTAAAATAATAAATGATTTTGTGATGCAGGTTTAATCAGACAACAGTCCTCATTGCTGTTTAGTTTATCAAATTTATCATCCAATGTGCAGGTTTACAATCAGCACAAAACACATCAATTGATTAAACACAGCCAATTACAATCACCACTACATTCTATACAGTATTCACCTTTATTAGTGCAGAATATGCAGTATGCCACCAAGAAAATGGAAACAAAACAAGGTCAAGCAGAAGAGAAAGATGCATCAGAAACTAAACCAGCAGAACCAACGACATACAAGGAGAAATTGAAACAAGCGATGTCACAATATGGTTCAACAGTTATCATATTCCACATCACAATTTCACTGATCTCGCTTGGTACTTGTTACCTACTTGTTCAAAGGTAATAGATATTAAAATATCAAAGGTTAAATATTTACAAAATGTACTTGTATTTGTTTCAGTGGATTGGATATGTCTGCATTATTGGAAAAACTAGGATTATCAGAAAAGTCTGTCAACAAACTAGCCTCATCATCAGGCACTTTCGCTGCAGCATATTTAATACATAAAGTGTTTGCACCAGTAAGACTTAGCATTACATTAACATGCACTCCATTCATAGTGAGATATTTACGTAAGGCTGGATTTATAAAGAAAGCTTTGCCAAAAGTTGAACCGAAGAAAGGATTGTAATTTTTTTGGATTTTTTATTTTATATAAAAGTGCATATTAGCAATGAATCAACGTCATTTAAAATATCTGATGATATAACAAATTTATATAGGACATTTTATGAGCAATATCACGATTTTTCTTAAGTGACAATGTGAAAATGTACAAGTTAACTATCATGGGTGTAAAGTACATATTTCTGTATATACAATATTTTTGTAAATCAGTCTATACAATTTATGTTAATTTCTAGTGAGCTTTATAAAAGCACTGGGCATAAGAAAGGTTTAATACTATATTGATGTTTGTTTATAAGTTTAAAACTACGATAAATTATAAACAACTAATTAAGTAATCTTTGTGAAGTTGTCTCCAACAACTTTGAACCAAAATTCATTTAGGAATACGTCTTCTTTATATCTTTATTACTCTTGATCCATCCTATTAATCCGATGATAATAAAGATTCCAGCGATGCAAATGTGATAGATGCCGTACGCCAAGAATTGATTCCGAGACGTCAGCGCAAAACCGACATCCTTTGAGACGAACGCCAGCGTGAGTCCCGTTTGCAACACCAGCGCAAGGAACATATTCATACCAAACACCAATCCATAACTATCTTCAACAATACTCTTGGCGATCTCCGAACTGGCAATGGTAATAATCAAATGATAAATACCGCAATACACCGCATAACATGCATAGCATATTCGGACATCAACTGTTTGCGACGCAATTAATATAATACTAGCGCCTGTAATTGCGCAAATCGACAGAATTAGTTCGCCTTTCTGACGCCAGTCAACTTTTAGGTATCCACCTAGAAGCGCACCGAAGAAGCCTAATATCGTGGCGACTGCTTCAATGGCACCGTTGTACATGATTGGATCCACTTCGTCCTTCTGAATTTCTGAGTAGAGCGGCTGAACGTAGTATTGCACCTGGATGAAACCAGCAGTGGTGAGGGACCACCACAGGGACCATTTTAGAGTGTATCTTTTGTGAACGAGTCCACCAAGTGGGATTTCATCAGTGTGAAAGCTTTGAGGTATTTTGTTGATGTTAACATTTGGTCGTTGGTGTTTTGATGAAAATAGATGGTGCGTTTTACTGATGGGAGGCACAAAGCCCAGAGGGTTGCCAAAATCATTGCTGGAAAATAAAATATTCAAGATTAAACTTCATAATATATACAAAAATATAAATTATAAAGTTTTAAAGTAATAAAAAAATGGCAAAAATGCACTACAGTAGCATCTAAATTCAAATTAAATAACTAAAAATATGATTAAATCTCCATATAAACTTTCATCCCTTATTTTACCCCTTTTAAGTTATATTTTTGCGATAAAAAGTAGTCTGTGTTCTTTTCTATGATCAAAACTATCTGTAAACCAAAATTTATCAAAATTGTTCAAGTAGTTTTTGTGTAAAAGCAAAACAAATAAACAAAAACTCAGAATTCGCAAAAAAAAAACACAAATATCTGCAAACAAATGCGCCTTATAATTATTACTTCTAACACACTTGTAATTACTTCATGCATATAAGAATCAATAGATTATGATATGACATTAAAAGCGTTCGCACGTGTACATGTGTAAACATTGCAACGTGCATGCCGGAGATAAATAAAACATGCGCCAACTAATTGCGCTCGAATAAACTCGATGACGATACACAAACAACGAAGGCAGCACCTGCTGCATTTAATTACCTCCGAGTGTAATATAATTCAGCTGCTTGTAATCCATCACGTGGCATGACACGAAAACTTGACCCAGTACACCTGACAGTGACCTTCCAGCGAGGATGGCCGCCCTCGTATGCGAGCTGACTTCCTGATAATAATCACTCTCGACTTTGGCGTAGATATACGTGTAGTAAGCGACTTCGGCCGCCATAAATGCCCCATAGAATACCTGCAACAATCAAGAATCGATAAGAATCGAATAAAGATGCTATTTATCAAATGGGCATCAATAATAAATGATTACCAAACATTATTACACATAAATGCTGCGTTCATCAAGCGAATCTGGGCCATTACATAGAAAAATGGGTCACCATCCAGTATGTACCATTAATAATGAAATAATATCACCTTGATGAAGTAAGTTGTTCAAGTGGTGAATTATTTATTTATGAAAACTTGTCTGGGATAAGATTCGTGCGGAAAATTGCATACATTCTTCGTTGGAATAATATAATGCATTGGAGAAATTGAATTGTGGATAATATAACCGATTAATATTTAATCACGCACGATTCTCATGGGAAGCCAATATCGATGCACTCATAAATATTGCACGCTAGCTTCGTATTGTGTGTGTGTGTGTGTTCATAATGTGTCGTGACGATGCAGAATGTTGACATGACAAATAATGCATACCGGAACTTTTTTAAATGTAATTCCGTGGAAAGTGTAGGAAATATTTTTATTGATTTGTTGGCTGGATTATGGGTGAATTAATTACACTAACTAATGGTCAGGGGGTTTGAATGTTGGGAATTACATGATCGGATTTCCAGGAATTTATTGTGTGTGAAACAATATTTATGTTTATATTGATATTGGAATATGTATGGGAAATATTCAAGGATAACAAAAATTATTTCAAAAGTAATAAGTGCTAGTGCAGTAAAAATTTAGAATTCAAAAATAATAAAATGGGCAAAAATATTGCTTAAAATATTGAATTTTTGACATTTAAGAAGCGAGTTTCGAAGTAAAAAAAAGTTTTTTTGGCTCCGACTCTGAAAATATTACCAAACTGTTAAATTAGCTGTGGTAATCGCATAAGGAATTAATTTCTCTTTAATATTATATATCTATCAATGCTGTACAATTAATATTTTCGCAGATATTTCAATTTTATTAAAAAAATGTCATGCATTTTATGCAAAAATAATTATTTTTAGTTTCCATTACTTTAACGTAATTGCTAAATTCGCTAATTTTCATTTCCATTTTTGGGCGTAATATGTTGATTAACTCACATTTGATAATGCGACTATGGCAAAATATGTAAAAATTTTAAAATAATCTATAAAACAACAAGCAAAACCCAAAAATGGAAATAACTCAAAAATTATTAAATAAAACTGCACCAAAAATAGTAGAAAAACTCGAAGATAATAACACAATGACATTCCAAAATTGAGACAGAATAATTCACTACTTTTTGTCGGAAAAAATGCAAAAGTTTTGCAAATCGAAACAAAAATAAACATTTTTTAGCGTTGCAAATGTCGCACCGAAGCGCGCACCGAAACGATTCTAAATATTTAACCTATGCCCCCAGAATCTCATCAATATTCACAAGCATTTAAGCAATAACTTGACAGCCGGCTAATTTTAGACGAGACTCGTAAAAACCACGAGTTAATTCTATACTTGATCGCCGCCTAAATATAACCTGAACTTAAGAATAAACATTGCCGTGAGTACGAGACAAATGCCGCTTAAAGCAATTAAAACCATTAATGACACGTGCATTTACCGCCCACAAACATGATAAGATCAAGTCACAGCTATCAATATATAATAATCAACAAGGTGGGTGCACCAAAGAAATCGCGATTCCAAGCTTTAATATTTAATCAGTCGGTGCATGAGTTTTCAACTTGACATTCAAGCGGCACAAATTTAAACAATTTCCGATTTCGAACAGAAAAAGAAAACGACGCGGTCGTCAATAATTCATCCGTCCGCATGACGCGATTAGTTTCATACACTCGTTAAATAAAATAAAAACCAATCCATGTCGCACGTAACGAATTTAGTATTCATTCAATGACGTACGCTTACACAATCCGAACGTAATTCTGTGTTGAATTTGCTACCGCAGCTGTGGTAGACGCTGGAATATTAACGTATCACGGATATGGAACACAAACTGGGGTTAATTGGACATTTCATTTAATGTGCGCATTGGAATTGTAAAAATCCAGATTACATCATCAATATTTCAGCCAAAAAATATGTCCATCTGAAATCTGGTGTTGGATGAGAGTTAATAATTATAATCATACACAAAGCTGTTTTTGTTTTGTATCTTATTAAATTTAAATTGAAAATCAGACAATATCGTCATCAGAATATGATGATCGACAAAAACACGTCGATCTAAATGTAGGTATAGTGTAGCAGTTTGTATGTTAAACTGTTTACGTATTCATGCTTCCAATTCGTTAGCACCAGACAACACATTTTATTATACATTTGAATGTTTTGAAACTGTTTGCATTATTAATGCATTTACGCCGATATGAATACGAGTATTGTGTTTTGCTTTTTTTTGCTATAAAGTACGGTAGGTACATGATACTAAAGTTTATCAAATTACAATCCGATTGTATACATAATAACGAATCATAAAAGTAGTAAAAACAGTAATAAATGCGAATGCACTGATACGGTTGTCATATTATTGCTCGACTGTATTGTTAAAGTGATAAAGCAATTATGATACAAGTAATATTTATCATTTGTAATTTTGTTTTACAAAAACTTTGCGTAAAATGTTAAAATATGTGATTTTTTTTTAGTTCTACAAGATTAAGATTAAGAAAACTCTAAAAACAAGGCAATGATTACTAATGAGTGTAATCTTATCTTTTGTCGAGTTTAATGGACAATCATAATGTCATTATGTTTGGTTTAAAAGCCTGAACCAGGAAATTATTACTCAATAAAACTAAACCTGAGATTACGCGGTATTTGCGAAAATTATAGTTTATTGACGCGCACGTGTAGTTGGTTTATTGCAGTGTTTTGTTTCAAAGAGGACTGGAATTTCAGTAACAGCATAGTTTTAGTTTGTTTGTCTGTTTTGTACATGACGGTTGTGGCAGCTGACGTTTTTGATCAGCAAATATACCATAATATAGTTGAGTTTGTTTGTACCTCTTTCAAGTAAAAATTACTGAACCAATTTTATTTAAACTTTAGAATATTATAGACTATTCATCAAAATAGGACATAAGCTGGTTTTTAACGTAAAAGTAAATCTTGAAGGGTGTTAAATTAAGAATAAAAGTTGATATGGACATTCAATCATATTTATAGTAATAAAACTCAAACCGAAATGGCGCTAAAGTTCATCATAAGCATTTCTTATTTCTTTAAAACAAAAGTAAGAATTTAATGACAAATTCGACACATAATTGACTAAAAAACGAAAACTGTAGACGATTTTTATAATTTTCATCTACTCCTAGACACGAAAAAACACAATATTTTATGATAGTGCAATTGCCTAGTAATAAGATTCTCGGCAATAATATTTGTACAAGACATTTTGTGAAACTCAAAGTCTATCGCCTATCGTCTAGGTGTCATTTTATCAACAAGTCAACAATGACTCACACTTTATCGCCCAACCTTGAAAGTGCCATTAATCCAATTAGATCATAAATAAATTATTAGAAAACTTTGATTTTTCACATATATTCTTACATGGAAATAAGCGAAGCACTTGAGCCTAGAAAATTAATTGTTAATCCCATCCTATAAATCATTTACATGTCATTGGAAATTTGATGTCAATACCAAACATACACATTAGGTACACGTAGTAGGTACATAGAAAAGTCGTTAAGGCTACATGTGAATAAGATTGATTAATTTCAGCTGCTATGTTTTCACACTTTCTGTGAATACCGAATCAGATACATTAGATTAAACTAAAGAAATGTGAGAAATAGATATGTGAATCTTTCCACGTGCATGTAAAATAAAATAAAAACTATTTTCAAAAACAATAATTCGTATGCAAATAATGTAAAATGAACCAACAACTTTTGTTTGATAAAAAAGAGGCGTACCTATTGTTGGTATACTTTCAACATACAAGTATTACCTTCATATTTGTTTGTATCACCAAACAAATGATTGCTGAACTGCTACATGAATAACGAAAATATTCAACTTATTGATTAAATCAAATAAATTCCATGTTTATTCGTAATGTATACATCCACGTGTAATGTTTGTACAAGAATGCCACTTACAACACATTCCAGATATCATAAATTTCAATTTGTTATTACGTATTCTTAAATCATGTCATATATATTTACTCGTGTCTTAGCTGTAGTAAAATACGTAAATAGTATTATTGTGTAAAATTACGATAGTCAAAATATGTTTGCTAAAAATAATTATAGGTAAGTATGAAAATATGTTATTCTGCACGTGAAGACGATAAATCATCATCATCTTTATTTTAGCCTTGTTAAAAAGTATAATAAGTACCAAAAAAAAAAAGTTTTGGTCATTATATGCTATCATAATTCTAATATCAAAGAAGTAAAACTTTAAATTCATTAAAAAAAAATTGTAATCATGTAATTTTTAGAAGTATATTCGGTATAATTATTAAAATATTAGAAATAATATAACCACTTGATTCTAGGTTTAAGAATTATTACATGTTTTTATTTAATTCGTAGTCAAAAATCTTTTCTGCAAATTTATTGCAAATATGTGCATTCTAGAATTATTAAATTATGATTTAATCACCATATCAACTACCAATTACCAATATATCAAAATTCATCAAAATTGATTCATTCTTTTAGCTGTGAAAAGATAAAAAGCAACTAACAGAATAATTTATCGCATATCCAAGGGTTTTTAAAGAGGAAAATATAAAATATCCCATAATAACTATGAAAAAATTAATCAACAACATTGTATTTTTTTTAAATATTTTATATACCCAATTAAATAATACGTTTACCGGGTGTGAGTAATTTACTATTCCGTATTACGAGCAATAAAAATCGACTGTATGTGGATAGACAGACAAATATTGTAATTTTTTGCACGAACATCATCCTCTGTTTCGACATAAGTAAACCAATCCGTGTACAACAGCTAGTAAACAATTGTTTTTGTTTATATATAATATCTACA